AGTAACATAATTTTGTCGTGATACATCATGTATCATTAATAAGAGATGTATTGTACATTGTGTATACTATAGATATCTCACACTATGTAAATCAGAAATCCTGGTGACAGCACATCAACATAGCTGGCATTTAGCTATACCTACAAAAGGTATTACTGCCAATCTTGGTCTAAGCATGACTGAATGAGTTACCTCCCAAACCAAAGTTTGTTTTTAGATCTGAGGTGCCAGAAATTTACTGAACACAACAAACAAAATTTAACAAACGATCAAAAGCTATCGGCTAAAAAGTAATCAGGAAGAATATATCTGAAGAAAACAAACATAGAATGTATCTTTGCTCTCAAAAAAGATATATCAAAGATAGGGGATGTTTATTTACTTGAACTTCAATCTGCTTAAATGTAGATAAATTAGCCTTTACACACTCTGTATGTTGAATTAGTAACATTAACAAAGATACTTTATTTCCGAATCTGATAAGGTGAATTCCATGAAGACTTTCCACCTGTTGAAAAAAAAACGTTTAGTAGGACCAATGCTTGAACTCATGTGTCTAGTTTTTCAATGTACATTAAAGATTTAAATTCCTTCTTCATCATGGCAATTTTTGGTGCTGAGGGCGAAGTCCAGGATTTTATTTTAACTCTGCGAGCCATAAGTAGACATAATGAAGTCAAAGGAGAAATGGATGCTGGTCTTGGTAGCAAAGTTGGATCAGTTAGTCTATAGTATCCAAACACACATCACAGGATCTCTAGCAACATACTGTAATTCCCATATAATTAAAACATAATTAAAGTGGAGCTCCACCCAAAACGGCACATTTGGTGTGGGGGGGGGGGGTTAACCGATCTTGACAGATGCCCCCTCCCACTTCAACTCCAATCTCCTACGCAGTCTTCTGGAACATGCAACAGGTCCCAGAAGACTGCACAACCATTTACAATGTGCAGCACAGCTGTGAAGCCACAAACTGTCACAGCCGGGTACGTATAGTTGAGATGCCAGCACCAAAGACAGAAGATAAGTGAAAATGGCTGGGGTGAGCTTATTTATGCACCGTGGGACAGGCGAGTAGCTATTTATTAACAGTCAGAATCTACAGTTTTTGTAGCTGCTGACTTAATTTTTACACAGGGAACTGGAGCTCCTCTTTAAGTACTTGATCCCAAAATGTAGAGATTACATGACAGTTCCACGTTCAATGAATTAATGCGGGACGCAATGTACCACGCCAAGAACATGTAGATAACATTGGATCAGCTTTGCTTATCAGAAAAGGCATAAAAGTTCTATGCATGAGTTGAAATTGAATCTCCCCCCCCCCCCCCCCACAACAGAAATTGCTCGAGGAGTTTGTCAGTTATAATATCATCCAGAAAGTCTTTAAACCAATTTTTAGGTGCTGGTTCCTCTGTGACTGTGTGAGCTGAAAGTTCAAGGGTGAATAGAGATCAGATATTGAATATAGCCAACATTGTATTGCTTGATCTATTAGTGAATGTTGAATGAGTCCTTTTTCAGGTTGTAGCATATTTTACCAGCTGGTTGTAGTAATGAGTATGACAGCTAGGTAATTGAACTGAATATATTTCTGGAAAAGTTTTTATCCCTGAAGGATTTGAATGAAAAATAGATGCCACCATCCCTAATCTATGGATTTCCAAGTATTCTTCAGAATCTATGCCAGATTGGATGCATTCATTTATCATGTAAAGGGAGATATTTTGAGATTGTTGATGGGAGACCTAAAGATCTCTGTATTGTAATTGCAATAGTGTGTGAAGCTATTGCTAAATGAATTGTGGGTTTATGACCAGACTGATCTTTAGCTATCGAGGTAAGATTGTCTGATAAATGTTTTACATAATAAAATGGTCAGTTCTGCCTTACGCCCTATCACACAAGACCCGATCACTTCTCCTACCCATAATTTTCAGAGACATTGGATATCATCATCTGATAAAAGAATTTCCTGAAGTAGAGCTACATCTGCTCGTAACCACAATATTTTCATCCTTTTTAATGGGGATCTCAAAAACTCTCTGTTCCATGATATAATTTTCATTTGTGGAGTCTAATATATTGTTGATAGTAATAGCGATTATTATTGTTGTGAGTTAAATTTACTATCATAATTAGAGCAGTAGCATCTGGCAGATATTTAAATTCCCCTCATCTTAAATGAATTATTGTAGAAAAGCATTATTCCCAGAGCATTAAGCATAAAATGTTTTATCTGTAACTCCACAAACAAAAAAATAACATCAAATAAACCAAAACAGTAAGCCAGTATTGACGTCTTTTTCCCCACATAGACCTTACTCTATTCCAATCCTATCAACAAACAGCCCTTTTGTATTTTGACATTTTTAAAAATCAAAATTTCATCGTAAATTTAGACCAAAACGTATTTTGTGGCATGTCTTTGCTAAAAAAAAAAAAAAAAATCTCAATACGTGTAAATTAATGGGTTTACGTGAAAGTTATAGCGTTTACAAATGGCGGTATATATAACTTAGCAGGACTACATTCTTTGAAAAACAGGTGGCAATTATTGCCCTTATTTAAGGAAGGAAGGCAGCAAATGTTGTACGTGCTGGTTACAGTGCATTTCTCTCTGAAATTCTGAGGAAAATGGGTCGTTCCAGACATTGTTCAGAAGAACAGCGTACCTTGATTAAAAAGTTGGAGAGGGGGAAAACATATAAAGAAGTGCATAAACTGATAGGCTGCTCAGCTAAAATGATCGCAAATGCTTTAAAATGGCAACCAAAACCTGAAAGACGTGGAAGAAAGCGAAAAACTACCATTCGAATGGATAGAAGAATAGCCAAAATGGCAAGGACTCAGCCAACAATCAGCTCCAGGAAGATCAAAGAAGGTCTAAAGTTACCTGTGAGTACGGTTACAATTAGAAGACGCCTATTTTTTTGAACAGTCTAATATTCACTTTTCTTCAATTTTTTTTTAGAGGAACACCACGAATTTGATATATTTTTCTTCATGTTTTGATTTGGAATAGAATGTGTAGTGTTCCCAATGCATTTGTGTGTATGGAAATAAAAGCTATTAGAATGATTTTGAGCTTTATTCACTTTTATCAACACACTGCTATTATTTTGAACACAACAGTGTATATGTGTATGTATATATATATATATATATATATATATTATATATATTTATATATATACACACACATACATACACACACAGGGGATTTTGCGCACCCCTGCCACTCTGTAGCAGTATTTCTGCTATAGGGCAGAGGGGAAGAGGTTAAGTAAAGGTACATTTTGAAAAGCATGTCCAATAGCACTGTAAGGAATGAATTAGAACAGTTGGAGATACGATAACAAATGGTTTTAAAATGTATTTATTCCAAATATACTAGACAAATAATTATGTAAAACACAAACTGACAAGACAATAGAAGATTAATACCATAACAATGCTTTCAGTATATAAATCAGTAGCAGAACTAGATAGATTAGCGGTCTCATCTGCTCCTGTTCTGTAAAACCACATCTTATCCCAGCCTGACATCAGCTGGCTTTTTTAGGTTAATAATAATAGCTTCATAACCACTGAATATTTATAAATTACAGGGTAACTAAAGCATGTGCCATGTTGTCACTGCAATAATGGAATGCCATTTTGTTATAATTTACTTGTACAGCTGTATAAGAACTTTCTAGACTCTTGAACCTTAAAAATGGATCCTGAAATGCATAAAGATACAGGGAGACCGCTGGCTCATTCTTGCATTGGTGTTTATGACAGCTAAAGAGAAACAGTGTGTGACTGCTTATCCTGCTTTATGCTTTTAGTTTTCCTACTGAACATAAACTGGGGAGAGCGGGAGTCAATCTTGTACATTGTAGTTCACAAAAATAAAATATGGCTCATCAAATAATTTGGTACTTACATTTAGAATAATATTTTTTCCTCTGAAAAATTAGGCTGGCAACAGCCAGATAGATGTCTTACCAAAAGAAACAGGTCGTATCTGAAACTTCTGCACTTTCCTGAACCCAAGGAGATGCGATGAGCAGAAGCAGCACATGTGCAGGTCAATACTTCCTTTCTTTTCTCAATGAGAAATGTAGAATTGAACTGTCACACAGAGATCTTTCACAAGCTGGATATCCCCACGTGCTAATAATAATCTATCAGCTGGAATTACAATGTTTCTCAACCAGGGTGCTGGCTGGGTTCTACTGGGGTTCCGCAGAACCAAACCATGTCAGAACCATAACAACAAATGATGTCTAGGGCCAAGATGCACAATGTCATTCATTGCTATAGTGATGGTGTCTGGCTCACTAAACCTTGGAAAACCACGATCCAATGCAGGCGGCATGTAGGGTCACCCTCAGCATTCAGGGGCAGACAGAAGTGCGCCTTCTCCACCTCCCAGCCCTCTGCCACCTGCTAAAGCCAAAAGGTAGGGCTCTGATATGATGAGGGAATCTGATATATACTGGCAACTCTGTGATGAGGAAGAGGGAGGGGGGGGTCTCATGTATATGGTAGCCTTTGAAATGAAGGAGGGGACTCTGACATCATGGAGGAACCTCTGACGTGAAGTTCAGCAAGGCTGTTTTCTGTGTTGTCCCAGGCTAAAATTTCCCATTGAGAAGTAACTTTTATTTTATTTTTGTTTTACATTTTAGACTGTGATGCCTAGATATCTTTTAAAGGGTGTCACAGGAGCAAAAAAACAAAAAAAAAATAGAAAAAAAACATATTTCCAGGTGTTTCTTATATGCTTTCATGAATATTGTAAAAGAAAGTGGCAGAATATGTCACAAGGAGAAAAAAATTTAAGAATTTTTTTTTTTTTTTTTTTTTAACATTTGTACAGAATCAAGTATGTCGATCTAAGACTTTTGTGTCAAACTCAAACTAAAGAAGGAAACATCAGAAAGTTGGCTACAAATGATGCTTTCCCTCAGAGAGCAACAAAGCCAACTGAGAGATAGTTCCTGCTGTCATTCCTCTCCTGCAGGTAAGTTGTCTTCAATCCTTCGGATGAACTTCATTCGGATTTCTGTAACACTGTCACCCTTTAGTGTGTCTTGAACAAATTTTACATCAACTGCCATCTGTACCTGAAAGAGAGTTTGTACATACAGTATATATTCATTGTAAACTTTTACAGTTCTGCAATGAAAGCTGACAGACAGATGAATGTGAGAAAGATAAATGAAGGTTGGATGGGAAAGGAAAAAAATATATAACTGAATATATTAAATGCTGAAGTATTGTCCCAACCTTGCAGCCTGCAAGAAAAACTCCTCTTACAGACAAAATATTTAGGGAACCTGTGCTTTTACTTTAAAGTTCCTTAGATTACGACACTTAGGGGTCTCTGAGAGAGATCCAGTTGTCTCCTTGCCCTGCGTAATGTCAGTGATGGCCCTGGCAGTGGCCAGGGAAGCCTCATCCACAAACAGTGTGAATGCAGATGGCACGAGGATTCCCTGGCTACAGTCAGTCTTGTATGATCTCAGAGATAGAGAGGGTGAGCTAAGTCTCTGAGGAAAGCAAAACCTCTGACACTCCAGGAAGTTTCAGAGATACTGTGAAGGCATTCAGGATGGAAAGTGGTTGGAGAGAATGGCAACATCCATAACTGATCTCTTTCTGCTTGAGACTGAACCCAGAAGTGTCAGAGCTGTCAAAAGCAAAGATGCCACATTGGAAGAACTCTGAAACATTTCATAAAGAGGACCTGTATCTAATATTACATATGATATGTAATAAAAAAAAGAAACTACAATAGCAACGAAAGCAGAACTATACTCACCAGTCTGACTGACATCTTTGGCCTTTTTGATTGGCTGAGCTGGGAAGACATCAATTCCGATGCCGAAACTGTTTGCACTGTGCACACGTATTTCGGTGCACAGACAGGTAAGAATACTTTAATATGGAAAATACATAGTATGTCTCTTCTGTATTAAAAAGCCTACCTGTCAATTATTTGCCCAGTAAATTAGACTCCAAACACCGATGGCCACTGATGTGCGGTGTATTATCATAAAGCATTCAATGTTGCATTTACTCCTATACTGTGTATGTTTGACCGCCTCCTTAGGCATATTGTTACTTATCTGAAAATTTCCTAATCACTCTTTTTTTAATCTCTTCTTCAAATGTGTGAATTGTATATTTTTAATCTTGGATGCTATGAATGATGGATAGATGATATCTGTTGGCTTTATACATCCTCTGTGTGCTGTACAGTGCACTACTTCAGATGTTCATGCTACCAACATGTTATATCGCCTACTACTGCCTAATGCATTCTGTTTAGTTTTGAACAATTCATGCAAGTTCTTTGTATACCTCTTATATACTTTATTAAAAATTGATCATATAAAAAAAATGATGCATTATTTTTAAAAAAACACATCAAATAAGGTCCCGAAGGTCCAAAACAAAGTGTTAAAAATCATTTTGGCATGCATAGTGGTTGAAAACTTATTGTTGAGGAAACACTACAATTTGTCCTAGTCATGATGGTTTTGATTAGTCTGGGACCAGACAGGATTCTTGATGCACATACAGAATTATTCATAGAGTCACTTACCATTTCTAGAGCTCCTCGCAGAACCCCACACAGCATGTTGGAGTATATAAGTGTGGAATGGTTATCTGGCAGTTCAACAAAGTCTACTAGAGGATTGTTTTCCAAAATGAGGGAGAACTCATCACCCGCTGGGCTCCAGTTTGTGATAGTGGGTGTGATACCCAGGTACATTTTAAATGCCACCTGTACAAACGCAGAGAAATAACAGATAAATAGATAAGCCCTGTCTAGGTTTCTTAGAATTTGTGCAGTTCAAACCGAAAACAAAGACTGTAACAAAATGAACACTTAACCTTGCTTTGCTAAAGCAAACCAATTCCTGTAATATACACAGCGAAAAAAAGTTTGGAAGATCTTTGGTAAAATGAATCATATTTTCATGATTATAAACTAATCTTACTAGTGTTAATTTCATACAGCTGAACAGGCATTTCAATACCTTACACTTTCCACTGTTTTATTGGACAGTTTGGGGGAGATTTACTAAAACAGTTGCACATAGAATCTTCTGCAGCTCTGCATAGTAACTAATCAGCTTACAGGTTTGATTGTCAAAGCTTATTTGAACAAACTGAAGTTAGATGCTGATTGGTTACTATGCACAGCTGCAACAGATTGTATGTGCACCAGTTTTTAGCAAATCTCCCCCCATGTGCATCACTACCATTTAAAACAAATACCTTTTTAGATTGGTCAGAATGAGCCCCGACTCACACTGAATGTGGCTTTGGAATCATGCTACTTCACTTGAAGTAGTGAGATTTCAAGGCCGCTGGTCAGTGCAATTTTATGTCTGGCTTGCCTGACATCTGTGCAACTTCATGCACAGATGTCTATGAGAATCATACATGAAATAACCAAAAATAGTGCATGACCCTTTTATCAAAAATGGTGCCGCACTGCAAAGAAGGAGTCACACCGATTTGAACAGTTCCATAGGCACAAATACGGTGCGACTTGTCATGCGGTTCTGAATTGTCAAATCGCATGACAAATTGCATTGGTGTGAACAGAGGCTAAAGGTTAAGAAAATGTGCATTTATTCATAGATCTGATCAGACATTTCCCTTTGCTGTACACAGGAGGCAGTTGCAGCCTAGATACAATTCACTCTGTCACTAAACATTTATTCATACAGAGCAAGGTCAGAACATGCTAAAAGCTCAAATATAACATAAATCTCACATGGCCAAAAGGCTTCACCTACAAAAACTAAGTATGTAAAAGCTGTTCATTTGCTCTGCAGATTTTCTTCAAGCTGCTCTGAAGTTAACCGAATATAGACTACTGAAGAGGCAAAAAACATGGCCGCCACCACCACAACCAGATTTCTATAATTTATTTAGCCTAACCAGTTTTTCATGAAGACTGGGCATGCAAAAAAGTAATATTGGGAACATGCTACATATTCCACCTTAAAAAGAGGTAGAACATGTAACTTGTTCCCAAAGGTGAACTTCTCCTTTAAATGGTCTTAACAGTTCTACTGGTGATAACAGAGCTATCATTAAGGCCCACCATATTAAAACACTGTGCAGTGGTGATGCAGACAAAGAGGGCTCGAGTTCAACAAGCAGTCAAACTTCTCCAGTTTAAGAAAAAAAAAAAAAGGAACTGTTGTGGAACCAAGGGAGACTAAGGGCTCATTTACACTGGCAGCTGAGGGGGGAGGTTGTGCAGCTACCATGTGGTTGTGGTGCAGTAATTTAAAGAAAATCCCCCTTCATCTGTGTAGACAAAAATAAATAAATAAATAAAAAAAGGTTAAAATAAAGAAGGACATTTAGAAGGAGACAGTATCGCCTTGTGGATGACTGGAAGCCTCTGCTATACTGCCACCACTACCACTTTGCTGAGGGACGGTGTAGAGTGCCATTCATGTAACTGAGCCCAAGGCCCTTTTCTAAGCTGTGTTGTGAAGTATATTCCCTGCTCAATAATAATTAGCTTGAGTGTTGCCGAGGTCTGAAAGTCCTTATTAGACACACATTAGAATACGGTCTGATCCTGCTAACTTGAATTGGTAGTAAATCCAAGTAAAAAAAAAAAAATAATAATAATATAAAACAAAACATAATTATATACTACTATTAAAAGGAATGCACTGTGTTGACCTTTTAAAAATGCATCCTTAATCTTTTGTAAGCTCCAATGCGTGGGCATGTCATAAAAACCAGAACTTGGGAGGCAGAGAGGTAAAGTCATACAATCTCCCCTACCATCTATACAGTGCCTTGGAAAAGTATTCATACCCCTTGAAATTTTCCACATTTTGTCGTGTTACGACCCAAAAAGTAAATGTATTTTATAGGGAGTGATAGACCAACACAACGTGGCACATAATTGTAAAGTGGAAGGAAAATGGTAAATGATTTTCAAAATGTTTTACAAATAAATATGTGAAAAGTGTGTCATGCATTTGTATTCAGCCCCACTGATTCAATACTTTGTAGAACCACCTTTCATTGCAATTACAGCTGCAAGTCTTTTTGGGTATGTCTCTACCAGCTTTGCACATCTAGACAGTGAAATTTTTGCCCATTCTTCTTTTCAAAATAGCTCAAGCTCTGTCAGATTGGATGGAAAGCACCTTTGAACAGCAATTTTCAAGTCTTGCCACAGATTCTCAATCGGATTTAGGTCTTAACTTTGACTTGGTCATTCTAACACATGAATATGCTTTGATCGAAACCATTCCATTGTAGCTCTAGCTGTATGTTTAGGGTCGTTGTACTGGTGAACCTCCACAACAGTCTCAAAACCATTGCAGACTAACAGGTTTTCTTCTAAGATTGCCCTGTATTTGGCTCAATCCATCTTCACATCAACTCTGACCAGCTTCCCTGCCCCTGCTGAAGAAAAGCATCCCCACAACATGATGCTGCCACCACGTTTCATGGTGGGGATGCTGTGCTCAGGGTGATGTGCAGTCTTACTTTTCTGTCACGCATAGCGTTTTGCTTTTAGGCCAAAACGTTGAATTTTGGTCTCATGTCACCAGAGCACCTTCTTCCACATGTTTGCTGTGTCCCCACATGGCTTCTCGAAAATTGCAATCAGGACTTCTTATGCTTTCTTTCAACAATGGCTTTCTTCTTGCCACTTTCCATAAAGGCCAGATTTGTGGACTGCACGACTAATAGTTGTCCTGTGGACAGATTCTCCCACCTGAGCTGCAGATCTCTGCAGCTCCTCCAGAGTTACCATGGGCCTCTTGGCTGCTTCTTTGATTAATGCTCTACTTGCCCGACCTGTCAAATTAGGTGAATGGCCATGTCTTGGTAGGTTTGCAGTTGTGCCATACTCTTTCCATTTTCAGATGATGGATTGAACAGTGCTCTGTGAGATGTTCAAAGCTTGGGATATTCTTTTATAACCTAGCCCTGCTTTAACCTCCCTGGCGTTATTCCCGAGTGTAGCTCGGGGTAAAGTTTCAGTACCACAAGCGGTAACCCCGAGCTACACTCGGGCTTACAATGCGGCGCTGCTCCACGATCCCTTTATCACTTACCTTGTCCTGCGCTCCCGCGATGTCCCTCCTGCAGTGTCCCCGGCAATGTAGTCCGGCGGATGACGGCATCTGTCATCTGGGTTCCGTCCCCTGCAAGCGTCGGGATGTACGGGGATGGAACGGCGGGAAATTTGAAAATAACAAAAAGTGACATTCACTAAAATCACATAGTAAAACATTACTGTATAAAACCATTTCACATACATTTTGTCCCGAGTGCTTTGTCCTGTGCCCTGCCTGCATTTTTACTGTTCTTTCTGCCTTGAAACTGAAAAACATCCATGGTGTCCAAAAAGCGTCCCTTTAGGTCAAAAGCGGTTTTAGACCAGCTAGAGAACAGCGATAGTAAATCAGAACCACTTGCAGAATTGAGTGATAATGATTTGTGGGGAAATTCGTCATCAGACACTGAAAATGATTTTGCGCTATATTTCAAATTTCAGTGTTTTTGGTTTGATTATATTATTGAATTAAAGTTATTATATTATTATTTTTTATGATTATTTATTAGATTATAATTTATGATTTCGAGTTTCAAATTTTATCCTACCCGGGATGTTTACTAGACTCTTGTTCAGACAGATTTCAGTGAGTTATTCCTAAAATTTACAGGCCTACAATTAAAAAAAAAAAAAACATATTTCCATGCAAAAAAATGTACCGCTTTGAGCACAGAAATATGGACATAATCAGACCGCTAGGTAGGTTAAACGTCTCCACAACTTTATCCCTGACTGGTGTGTCCCTTGGCTTTCATAATGCTGTTTGTTCACGAATGTTCTCTAACAAACCTCTAAGGACTTCACGAAACAGCTGTTATTTATACTGAGGTTAAATTACACACAGGTGGACTCTAATTAGGTGACTATGGAGTGTGCCGCAGCGGGCGTGTGGTTCTGGGAAACGTAAATAGATTTTTTATACACTTTTTATTATTAAATTTTTGTTTCTTTTTACAAACTGTGAGCAGAGCAATATATAGTGTTACTCTAGGAATACTGTGCTACTCTGAAGAGGTGATCAGGATTTTTATTTTTGCACACTATAATAGCGTTATAACAGTGAATATCACTGTTATAAACAACCATTTTTACGGAATTAATTTGATTTATTCAATGATTGGCCACAGTTAATCACACGGTACAGATGTATTTTGATTGGCCCTGTCTGTACCGTGGGATCACTGTGACCAATCACAGAGATCATCACAATAGTACACAATGAATGGCATGAATGGATGCCATCCATTGTGTACAATTGTCATGTGATCTGCTGTGATTGGTCACAGCAATCACATTGTACCGGCAGTGGGCCGGTACACTGATCTGTGATCTGCTGTATCTGCAGGTGACAAGGGTCATATGATGCTCACCCAGAAAGGCGAATGTCCCGCCTGGCGGTCATTTTACTATAGGCTGGGTGGGAAGGTGTTAAAGCTTGTAGATTTTTCAGAGAGGTCTACAGATAAATGTACAACATAATTTGTCAACTTATGTTTTAGAAACTATATAAGTATATATACTTTTCTTAGAATCAAAAAAGTATGGTGCTAATGTGAACATTGACAACACACAATACAGCAGCGAGTTTTAAAAACAAAAAATGCTGTGTTAATAAATGTTATGGTCTGTGAGAAAGCTGCTGCAGTTCCTCAAAGACAACTACATCTCACCTAATTGGAAACAGACTAAGCTTCTGCTGAAACTGGCAAAGAATCATAGCATGTGCAAAGCAGTATGTCATGAAGTCACTGGAAGAGATGTAAGAGGGGAGACTTGTAGGACACGTGTACTCTGCAGAATGCTATACAAACTATTTTCACAAGAACCCAAGGATCAGAAATATTAGCACATTAAAAAATTATTATTGCAGTTTCTTATGATGCATTCTTTATTATAAGACAGGAGAACCTGCCTTTCATAATAATGATTCAGACATAACTGATTCTAAAAACAAAGCAAGGCACATGCTGGTCACAATGATAGATAAAAACAGTATACAGGCATTTTAGGCTAGGTCATAAGTCCCAACACCCACGGGAACTATTGTTCATAAAACTGACAGCCACACTACAAAAGAGTTTACCTGTACCTTAAAGGTTAGTCAGCAATACCAGATTGCCAAAAAAGTCAGCTCATGTTTCTGATATCTTCCCATGTACAAATAATACATGTGAGCCTTCACAGATATCAGCCTGTAAACAACAGCATAAGCGGTCTCAGCCCGGGAGCACTTAATTTCTGAGTCCACAAAAAGGTGCTGGGTGCATGAACTGAAGGTTATCAAGAATGCAAGGGGACAATTTATTATAAAAGTGTCTGCTGAATTGCAAGCATGTATGGTAGAAATGCCAGTTGCTACATGCAGTATGGAGGGGGAGGGGGAGAGAGAGGGAGTGTGAGAGACAGGAAGGGGGAGTGAGAGAGAGGAAGGGGGAGTGAGAGAGAGTGGGAGAGAGGGGGGGGAGAGAGAGAGAGAGAGAGGGGGGGGGGGGGAAGGTGGGAGGGAGGGGAGAAAGGAGAGAGAGAGGGGGGGGGGAAGGAGGGAGGGAGAGGGAGAGAAGGAGGGAGGGAGAGGGAGAGAAGGAGGGAGAGAGGGGGGGGAGGGAGAGAGGGGGAGGGGGAGGGAGAGAGGGGGAAGGGAGAGAGAGAGAGAGAGAGAGAGAGAGAGAGAGAGAGAGAGGGAGGGAAGGAGGGAGGGAGGGAGGGAAGGAGGGAGGGAGGGAGGGAAGGAGGGAGGGAGGGAAGGAGGGAAGGAAGGAAGGAGGGAAGGAAGGAAGGAAGGAGGGAAGGAAGGAGGGAGGGAGGGAAGGAAGGAAGGAAGGAAGGAAGGAGGGAGGGAGGGAGGGAGGGAGGGAGGGAGGGAGGGAAGGAAGGAAGGAAGGAAGGAAGGAAGGAAGGAAGGAGGAAGGAAGGAAGGAAGGAAGGAAGGAAGGAGGGAGGGAGGGAGGGAAGGAAGGAAGGAAGGAAGGAAGGAAGGAGGGAAGGAGGGAGGGAGGGGAGGGGAGGGGGAGGGGAGGGGAGGGAGGGAGGGAGGGAGGAAGGAAGGGAGGAAGGAAGGAAGGAAGGAGGGAGGAAGGAAGGAAGGAGGAAGGGAAGGAAGGAGGAAGGGAGGGAGGGAGGGAAGGAAGGAAGGAGGGAGGGAAGGAAGGAGGAAGGGAGGGAGGGAGGGAAGGAGGAAGGGAGGGAGGGAGGGAAGGGAGGGAAGGAAGGAGGGAGGGAGGGAGGGAGGGAGGGAGGGAGGGAGGGAGGGAGGGAGGGAGGGAGGGAGGGGAGGGAAGGAAGGGAGGGAGGGAGGGAAGGGAAGGGAAGGGAAGGGAAGGGAAGGGAAGGAAGGAAGGAAGGAAGGAAGGAAGGAAGGGAAGGAAGGAAGGAAGGAAGGAGGAAGGGAGGGAGGGAAGGAAGGGAGGAAGGGAGGGAGGGAAGGAAGGAGGAAGGGAGGGAGGGAGATATATATATGCCCCACGGATAAAGGCCCACTTCTTTGAGACCGCAGATACGCGTACTTTCAGCGGTAAGGGGTCAAAGAAGCTGGAAATGAATGTAATTTGCCAGCAATTTAAACTGAATATTTTTTTTCTTGTATCACATCCTACAGCAAGAATGAAAAAAAATTACAGAGTACCCTCCGCTATGAGTCTGGTATGGATTTGTAGGGTGGTATCTAACTCAAAAACGTACGGAAATTCTTTACAGAGGACAAGGGGTCACACTTTATGTCTGGAGAAAGAGAGATTTAATCTCCAAATGCAGAAAGGCTTCTTTACAGTAGGAAAATGTGGAATAGACTACCTCTAGAGCTGGTTGTGGCCAGCTCAGTAGATTGTTTAAAAAAAAAAAAAGGCCTAGATTCTTTCCTAAATACAGGGAATATAGCTAGATACTAATATTTATAGGTACAAATGATCCAGAGTATATTTGATTGCCTCTTCAGGAACGAGGAAGGATTTTTTATTCCCCCCGCTGGAGCAAATTGGATCATGCTTTTTTGAGAGTTTTCTTGCCTCCCTCTGGATCAACTTTGGGTATAAGATTGTGTATGTGGACATGTTCTATTTGTGTGTGTGCTTATTTTCGCTCTGTGGGTTGAACTAGATGGACTTGTGTCTTTTTTCAACCAAACTATGTAACTCTGTACAACACAATTTGCATTTTATTACCTAAATAAAGTCTTGTACGGTTTCCCATAATACTGTATGCCTCACTTGTCTTTTTTTTTTATATTTTTGAATTTTTATGTATCCATTTTACATGCCTCAGACTAAACCAAAAAAAGAGCTGGTCAGTAATCTGGATGAAAACCATCTGTTATCATTTATTTTTAAATGGGGCCACACAAGTAGTTAAACTAAAAAGGTAATGTCCAACCAAAGCCTGTAGACCAGTTTAAAGGAAGCTGCCAGCAAGTGAGATCTTTTTGCTGTATGCTTACTGAACTAAACGATCAGTTTTGGAGAGAGAGAGAGGCTAAAGCCTTTATGTTTTTCTAGTTTTTGTCAGAAAATAAATTACCTTAGCAATAACATCCGCTGTTTCTCGAAAGTCATGACATCTTCCAACATTTGAACGGGCTAGGAAATCTTCAATCAGCCTTACACCTATGTTGTATCCCCTGAAAGAAAAAAAACACACAAAACAGTAGAAACAGACAAAAAGAAAACCATGTACTATAAGCTTCAATAAAAAAGAGCAAGTCACAATAGTCAACCCACATACCATAAGAGCAGATGATGTCCAAACTTTGTGACACTCTCCACTCCAACCCCACCCAGGCAATGTTTCTCTAACATTTAAGCCTACTCCCACACTGCTGGAACCTCCAATAATACAATAGCCTTTGCACGTATGGTAATGACTAGATGCCAGCTCCTCTGGGCGGTGAAAAAAAAACAAAGTTGGGTGGACTAGCTGCACATGCAGACAAACTTAATAGGTTTTCCAAATTTCACATAAATTGCAATTTTTTTAAATTACATTATAGTACAACACAATCACATTCATTAATCAGTGATGCCTTGTTTACCAAGCACTGGGGATGTCTAGAATCTAGTAACTGTCCAAAAAAATACAGAAATGCTTATACCAAATTTTTGTCTGTCCTCACATTTCCTATTGGAAAACTTGACAGCAGCTATTTGAAAGTTGCTTTAGCATGCTCGGTTAATCTCGGTTTGGCAAGACTGCAAGGAGAGGCATCATTTAGAATGTCTTGACCTGTTGTAACTGCCTCTGAGGGAATTACAGCAGTCCTTCCATTTAGGCTTCTGTGGTTACATCTGCTTTTTGTTTTGTTTTTTTGGCTTCCTGGGTATTTTAAGACACCTATATAACAAAGAAAATGTTTCACATGGTCTCTTAGCACCTGATGTAATTCCACAAAGAAAATGCCAGACTGGACCCATCATCTTGATCACAATAGATCCTGTTCATTTAAAAATTTGTACATCATGAACTCTTTCACAGACAGACTAATACAGTTGCAACAAATATCATATGTTCTCAAACTCAAATATATGGTATAAGCAATTACAACACTGGCCTCACTGACTGCGCAAGATGTCAGATCATGTCTAGCACAACATTCTGGAAGAAAAGATTCTATAAAAGCATACTAAATAAGTGAGCAGCATAGTAAAAGGACTCTATAAAAAGCTATACTTGCACAGATATAAAATAATAGAGTGCTCAGAAAAACCACATTATGAGGAAAACCTGCCAGAAAACTGTGCAAGTAAAATTGAGCAGACGATGATGAAATACATTAGTAGGGGTCACTTTCAGGTAAAGTGGTTCTAAAGGGCAGAAGGTTTTTTTTACCTTAATGCATCTTTCATGTGCAGTTCCCCCCTTCTCCTCTCGATCCCCATCTCGATCCAGCAATGTGCAGGAGAGCCGCGGTTCTCCCAGGTCTCTCTTTGGCTCACACAGCAGCGGGAGCTATTGGCTCCTGCTGCTGTCAATCACAGACAGTGAGCCAATGAGAGAAGGGGGGATGGGGCCGTACCACGCTATGTGTGTGAATGGACAATGTCCATTTACAGGTCTGCAGCTCAGGACCGAGCCTGCTCAAGTGCTCCCATAGCTATTGGGGGCACTCAGCAGGGGAGAGGAGCCAGGACTGCCAGGGGGCGACCCAAAAAGAAGAGGATCAGGGCCACTCTGTGCAAAATCATTGAAGGGGATCAAGCAAACTTTAGAATCACTTTAAAGTACAAGTCAAAATTATCAGTAGATCTACAGGCAGCCAAAATTTGTAAAAATCATCACTGGTCCTGATACCCAAGCCTTCGTATTGATTCTTTATTGTGCGAGTAGAATTTACTCGCCAAAAGGGTGGCTTTGGGGGGGGTGGGAGGGGGCAGAGTCCAGCACAAAATTTACTGGAAAAGTAAATACCTACGTAAACAGTGATAGTCCAAAAGTAATCTGTAAAAAGGTGCAATCCATGGGACTTGGCAACAGAGATAATATTCAAAAGTGTATTTCATTCAGTTAGAAGTTTTGCTGGAGCATCTAGTGCTCAGGACTGTCTAATCCAGTGACATGCCAGTATTACATATACTTAAAGTGCAGCTGGCCAGCAAAAATTCCAGGTTTGACAACAGCAATGTCAAATCCCAGTCACTGACACCAATATGGTGGAAAATGAAAGGTCTGCCACGAATATATGATGATTATCCTCTCAGCCTCACCAGGCACAGAGATTTTCTAGTCCCCCACAATCCAAATGCAAGCGGACTAAAGCCTCGTGCACACAGTAAGCCTTTTTTTAGGCTTTCAAAAAAAAGAAAAAAAGAACTGACAGATCGCTGTACAGTGCTCTCCCCGCTGTGTTATTGTGTTCCTACAAGGGGACTGCCCTCCCCCCAGAACACACCGATCAGCACTCTCAGCCATTGGCTGAGATCGCTGATCGGAAGCCAGTAAAGCCCTTTTGACAGAAGCTGGATGAATGTCCGACTTCTGTCGGACCAGCTGCCGTACACACTGGCCGAATGTTGGCTGGTTCCTATTGAACCAGCCAATACCTCTTGATATTCGTCCCATGTGTACGGGGGCTTAAAAGTGATCAATACTGAGGTCGACTAACTACACCGTTCGAGATTTACAATACAGTAATGGTCTTCAAAGACACAGGGTTTCTTTAACCACTTGTAGTCCTTAGGCAGTATATATACATCCACAGGAAACAATTGGCTACAACAGGATCATGGCTGCAGCTATAATTTTTTAATGCCAGCGATGGGCTTGCCAATAAAAGTCCTTTTACAGGACTTGGAAGTGGGTATCCTTCTCCCACCACCATTTCCGGACTCTCCTGTTCCACTGGGGAGGCTGGGACGGCTACAATCGGTTGTCCCAGCTACCCATGTCTGCTCTGTGGTTTTGGCACTTCTGGTTTCAGTTCTATTTACCTGGTTGGTACTGCCCGGATGCAGCCATCTAAACCAATTTCAATGTTAAAGGAGAGCTCCAGACTGCTGATGTTAAAATTTTTCTGTAGACCTACTTGAGGGTATCACTGATGTCTCTCCTCACCCAATCACAATGGTTAAGAGGAGGGCCTTAGAAGTGCTAAAATATTTTATAATAACCCAGCACACCCACCCACGATGTCATATTTTTATTGTACCACGTTATAATTTGATAAACCACATATTACTGTACAGCATTCAGTTCCCATTCCATAGAGAAATTGGCCATACATAGATGGAAATTCAGCAGGAACTGGATGAATCTTGATCTGTGTTTAGCCCTCTCTGCTGAATAGAAGATGTCTCCTGTCGAATGGTCCTGCTAGAAAACCAGCATTCGATCAGTGCTGCAGCCATTGCGCTGATCTGTGCATTCTGCCAGTGGGAAAGTCCTGCTTTCAGAATACAAAGACACAGTGAAGTGGATTTTCCCATCCACCATGAGCCACTGGCTCCTGCTGCTGTCAATCAATAGGCAATGGCTTCCTATGGTGGCACACCAAGAAGAGAATAAGTCAGGAGTGCCACTGCACAGAGCAGGTAAGTATAAAATGGTTATTATTTTGAAAGAAAAAAATTAAGTTTACAAAACACTTTAATGGGCAACTGAACTGACATAAAAAAGTGGTACTAATGTATACAGGTTTTTTTTTTCAGTTGCTGAAGCAATAAACCTGCCAGTTGCTTTCGCATATAGGGCTACATAAGATAGTGCTGGTATTTAGTGGTTGGCTCAATTTTGTCAACTGAGGGAGGGGAAGACAGTAAGCTTTCTGTAGGCTCTGCCTAGAGATTGAACTAAAGTTTACACAGTTGAAAAAAAAAAAAAAAAAGGGACACGGTTCCAATTTATCACTAGCTTTTAGAGCAAGGTGCACATAGAAAGGCAGCAGACTTTCCAGCTGAGAAAAAAGCAAAACAAAAACACAACAAGTTGCACTGTCTAACAATTTGTGTTAAAAAAAGATTTTAGTTGTTTAACATATGCAAATATATGTGGAAGCTGCACAGTCTTGTCAAGGCCCCTCTGTAAAATTTGATAAACTAAGGGCAGGTAAATATTGAGGCAGTATATTCCTCCTTAAAGGTGCAGGGACACACTAGAAACCAAGATGAGCACACTGGTACCTGAAGACATCCAATGTGCCCCCGTTCAACTGCTCTTCTACTTTGTAACCACAGAGTTGCTTACTTGGCATGGCTGCCAACTTAAGAACATCTTGCAAATTTCTCAAATAATACAATGCATTTTTTTTTTTTTTTAATTGGGCACTGTGGAGAGAAGGGGCTGCGACATCACAATCTCTACTTCATCCAATCAGAGAACACTTTGTATTTATTAAGAAGAATGCAAGATGTTCTCTGAATGGCCACCCTGTCAAGTGAGCAACACACAGTAGTTACTATGCAGAAAGTAGCCACACATGACTCGAAAGACCATTGGCATCACTGTAATAACTTGTGCTACTGTAGTGATTTTCAGCTTCCACAGAAACGGAGTAGGCATCACATTTTTTTTTAACAGTGTATTTAGCCGCTTGCCTAGAGCAGTCTTTCTCAACCGGGGTGCTGCAAGAGGTCTTCAGGGGTGCCGTAGGGAGAATGGCTGTCACTTGAGCCAGAGCTCCTGATCCCCAGCCACACAGGGTAGTCGTCACACCGCTCAGCAAAGTGAAAGCAAAGGGAAGGGGAGTGTCTTCTGTGCTCTCTGCTTCCCCCTAGAGTGCAGTACCCAGCTGTGTGATGGAAGCTAAATACTGTAACTTTTCATAATGCTGTATAAATGTGTGTGTGTGTACATGTGTACATGTATGTGTGTACGTGTGTCTATGTGTCTGTGTGTACACATGTGTATATATACGTACATGTGTGTTTGTTTTTATGCGTGTGTATATGTATTTTACTTTTAATCTCGACCCCCTATTCCTGTCCTATCAGAACTGCTTTTTTAGGACTTGTTCGTAATAGCAGCAAGGACTTCAGCTCTTCTGAAAAGCAATCCATGTTAAGATCACTTTTCAGAGGCATTAGACAGGTGGTAGAGAGGCATATATGTTGCCTCCTCCCCACCTGATTTAACCCCAGCATCAATCACAACTGTGTGGAATGCGCACACAGTTGTGGGGTGGTTGTAGTTCAACTCTATTCACCTGGAGGTGTACTTCCAGCTGTGGCAACAGCTTGTGTATACCCCCAGCTGCTGTTTCTGCAGCTAAAGGGGGAGCAGTTGGGGGTGGTAAAAGCAGCTCAATTTTGATGGTTTTACCGCCCTCCAACCTCACAGGTGAGCAGGCCCTTGGTTCACACCTGGGTGGCTGTGTGTAGGGCAGCCCATTCATTTCAATGTGCTGCCTTACCAGCAGAAATACAGGGAAAGTTGTCCCTGACCTTAGTTTTAAAATTGTACCACACCAAAAATACTCCGTGTTTGCCAATGCATGGGGGTACCCCTAAAGAGCAGAGCATTTGTCTGTGTGTCAGGAATGAGCATGATTTCGCGTGCGTTCCGCGACACACAGCAACATGAACCAAGCCTTGGACAAGGGTGCCTCATGACTGAAAATACTTTTCAAGGGCGCCCCGACTGGAAACAGGTTGAGAAACACTGGCCTAGAGTTCCAATTTACCTTGTACAAAAGACAAAGCACAAAAACATCACATCCACAAGAAATCAAACTGCAGCACTTACATTTTCTCCAGTTGCTTATTGACATCTTCATCATTTTCGTAGTCCTTACACAGCTGTGCAACAAGGGATCCATAAGTTAGATTGAAGAGCTCGGAGTTCTAGAAGGAACAAGACCAATAATTATCACCATAACAATCAAACCCAAATAACCCTGTTCACAACTTTCTAATATGTGATAGTGTACAATAGCCAGAAACTTTGCTCTTCCTGTCTTCCTGATTTTAACAATAAAAGACCTAACATGCATAATAAAAGAATGTAGAAGTTACAGCTAACAAGGGAAAGAAAATGTTTTGGTTCAGAAAATTAAAAAAACAAAAAAAAAAACCATGCATGCATGTAATAAAGCATAGGAAATCATGATACATAGAGTAGGGAACTTCAAAAACCAAAAAACTGTGTTAATTGTGGAGGGCCATGAAAAAAAGTTCACAGAGCAAATACTAAACCAAACGCCCAACTCCAGCCAAATATTTTCTTTCTTCTTTAATTTTGAAGAGCGTGGACAGGTTACAGCATCTGCCAATTTTTTATCTGTTTCTACATTTCGGAAAATTTTCATTATTATTTCAGATAGTACAAGATACTGGGTAAACATTAAGGAGTTATAAAGAGAGTAATAAAAACAAATGTGCATAGTAGAGTGGGAAATGGTTTTTATGGTTTTGTTTGCTGGTGTCTCCAATGGGGAGATCTGCACTCACTTCCTACACAGGTGATGGATGCCAGACAAAATAGGAAGTAAGTGGACATCTCCTCAAAAGGGCATAGACAATATTTTAAAGGATAAGCTCACCTTTGGGAACATGTTACATGTAACACCCGTTTTTAGGGTGGACCGTGTAAACATGTTCCCATAGCCACAGCCCCCCGCCCCCCCCCCCCCCTCCCTCCTGAAAGATAATGCGGGGAGAAGTCTCCCCATACGCTGTCAAATATGAAAACAGCGCGGCTGTGCTGGGTTCCACCCACACAGTCGCATCAATCATTCACAGACTTCCGTGAATGAATGAACTGCAAGTCCCGACAGCCTTAGTGACTGTGGGCTTGTACTTTTCAGTGAACTACCACGGCGCTGTGGAGCACCATGGTAGTTCATTGAAGCTTCAGAATATCTGCTTACTCATACATCCCATACGCAGATATTCTGACAGGTCTGCAGGAGACCTGCATGGCATCAGCGATCTACTGATCACTGGTGCAACGCTTTCCAGGCTCCTGTAGGAAAAAATAATAAAGGCACATTTTTTTACCTGCAACAAAATGTGCATTTATTATTTTTGTTTAAAAGGTGAACCTATCTTTTAAAGCTGATTGAGATTCTGACCTTCCCAGTCCATCAAAAACAAAAATGTATGTCTGGGGTAGAGCTTTAGGCCTTCTCTAGCTGGCAAAAAGATTCTGGCTCTACCACTTCTTGAACTGAAAGATGAAATTGTTTAACTCCTGACCATTGTAATGGGCTGTATTCCATTCAAATTCCATTTTAATTTCCAAAATGTAGAGAAATGTAAATTATGAATATGGTGAAATTTGTCTAAAGCACTCCAATCTTCCACCACAAATAATCTTCTATAAAGAGCTTAACATCCCTTGCAAAAGCATTGATTTTAATAAGCAAAACAACAGGTGGAACAATGCCACATTCCAGTGCTACAGGTTGTATTAGCCATGGTTTCCACAACATTTCTCAGAGAAGCTTTACATTTTAAAGTATTATGAATATTCAGAAACAGTGGTCTCCAAACTGTTGTCCGAGGGCTGTATGTGGCCCTTTGCTTGCTTTTAAACAAAAACCAAAATGACACATGATAGGGTATAACTACCCATTATATTTCTCTGACTCACCATAAATAAAAGGTGTGGATTTTCTAAACTGAACACTTTGCATGCAAAAAGGGAAGCAGTTGACAAGAGCAAACTGCAAAAAGATCGGTATCCAAATCCAAAGCAGAGTAAAGAATGCATCTATTTGGATGTATTTTTTACTCTGCTTTGGATACCAATCTTTTTGCAGTTTGCTCTTGTCAACTATTTCCCTTTTTGTATGCTTTGCTTGCTTTTGTCTGACCCTTGAGGCACTATTCCTTCTATTGACACCAATGATGAGGCACCGTTCCTTCCACTGACACCAACAATAGGGTAAATTTTGTCCCACTGACACCAATGATGGGGCATCATTCCTTCTACTGACACCAACAATGGTGAGCGATTTTTGCCACGAATACTAATGATGGGGCACTATTCTTCCCATTAATACCAATGATGGCTCACTATTCCTCCCACTGATACCAATGAAGGGGCACCATTCCTCCTCCCACTGACCACTGGGGTATTTTGTACTTTCACTGACCCCAGTATGGCCCCCCTAAAGTCTGAAAATTAGTAACATGGCCCTTTGTTAAGGAAGTTTGGAGACCCCTGTTCTAAAACATTTATATCACTGGAGTGTCTGCAGGAAGCTTGGAAATGGTATACATTTTAACGGTAAGGAGCTGCATCAATTTCATAGATGCAGCACAATCACAACTATGCTAAAATACTAAATAAAAGTGTTTTCAGAAACATACCATGAGATGCAGAGATGCAGCAGGTGAAATGAATGGCAAATACCAATACTACAGAATGAATGCAGTAGGCAGATGGAGAGAAGGGAAAAGAAAAATAGTTAGGCGATGCAGGTCTAGTATCAGAGACCACTATCTGCCAGTAAAATGTGCAGCACTTGTAAACAGCAATGGGAGATGAAACAGAGCACAACAGAATATGATTGCCTAAACATGCCAAGCGTGAAAGCAGCCCAACTCTTATAAACAAGACCCTTAAAGAGAAACTGCTAATTAATTAAAGAAGTAGTCTCACTACGCACCATGCAACAAAATGCATATAACACATTTCTAGCTTGTCTTGTAATGTGGTCGACAGTGCCCCCGCCCCCCCCCATCACCACCACTTTCAACCATGCATCTATCAAGGGGACCAATATTTAATAAACTATGACTGACAGTATTTGTCTCAGGAACCAGCTGCTTCCCCAAGACAAACGCCATCACTAGGCGTGCAAGGGGAGGGGGCATGTCAGCTGCCCTGTTTTACCAATCTTTTTATTAGTTGCTAGGACATAGGCCGTCCCTAGCAGAAAATGAAAACACACAGATGGCGGATCAGAGGAACTGGGTGGGAGCCCTCCAGACAACAGGTCCCCAACTCTCCCGCACACTAACTGAACAGAGGTGGTGACAACTGAGTTCTGCCTGAACTCAACTGTAACACCTACAAATCAAGTTTTTATCGGGGAGGAGCAGAGAAGCTGAAAAGCAGGGTATAAAAGGATTTTCTTCACATTTCAATAGTTTTTCATTTGAGAGGCTAATACAAGTATTTAATAAGTGGTTGTAAAGGCGCAAAGTTTTTCTATGCATGAAGGTAAAAAACCTTGTGTGTGTGGCAGTGCCCCCAGCCCCCTCAATACTTACCTGATCCTCATCGAGATCCAGCGATGTGCACGACAGCCTCCACTGTCCCAGGTCTCTGCCTCCTCATTGGCAGAGACAGCAAGAAGGAGCCATTGGCTTCCGCTGCTGTCAATCACAGCCAGTCAGCCAATGTGGAAAGAGAGGGGGCCAAGCCGCGGCTGTGTGTGTGAATGGGCACAGGGAGCAGAGGGTGCCCCCACAGCAAGCAGCTTGCACCCAACAGAAAGGAGAGCCTGAGCGGGACCCGAGAAGAGGATCCAGTCTGCTCTGTGCAAAACCACTGCACACAGCAGGTAAGTATAACATGTTTGTTATGTTACAAAAAATCCAAGTTTAGTATCACTTTAATATATGAACCTGGTTTTTATTTTTTTTTTTTGTTAATTCCTATAAATACTTCTCTCAAAAAGCAAAACATGAAAGCGGCCAATCACTGGCTATTAGGTTGTATACTAGTACCAACGCATCCAAGTCTCCTGAGCCTTTTAGCTTCATTGCAATCATTTAATACCCAGGACCAGAGCTTGACAAATTTGCTTTGAATCCAGGAGCAAGCTATAAAGTCAGAAGCCAGTTTTTTTTCTTTTCTCGTCAGCGCCTGGGGCAAGGCATGTAATTTGCTAACTCTAACTTACTTACAGCACAGCGGCCCTTGCTATGGGGGAACTGAGCAGGGGGGAGGGGCCAGGAGAGTCAATGGGAGACCCGAGAAGAGGAGGATTGGGGCTGCTCTGTGCAAAACCACTGCACAAAGCAGGTAAGTACATGTTTGTTATTTATTTATTTTGTTAATTTGGGCCTTTAATATAAGTGGAGCTATGATCCCAATATACAAATACTTGAATGGCGACTCTAGCATTTGGAGAAAATTGTTGATTCTTAGGTCTCAAAATAGACAAGCCACACGATGTTGGACGAGAAGTGGTTCAGTCTTAAACTGGGTAAGGCTGACCATACATTATACAATTTTCTTGAGAATTTTGCTTTAGATTTACCAAAAACCATATAATAAGGAGGTCAAACCTAAACAATACTTTCAATTGTATCCAATTAGGCAGGCCCTTGCACTACATAGTTGAAGGTAACTCTAAAGAAAATTGGACAGAAAATTGTAAGAAAATTGAATAGTGGATGGCCAGCCTAAGGGTTTCTTTACTGTTAGAGCAGTAAGGATGAAGAATTGCCAGTTGGTGGTGTCAGTGGGCAAGGAAGATACATTAAAAAAAACAACTTGTGTATCTTGTGAACACAATGTACAGGCATATGAAAAAATGGTAGTGGCATGCTCTGGGAACACTGGTTCTATTTACTGGCTTTCTTGTTAAGTACATGATTGCTGTTTAAATTGAATGAGTCGTTAAGCTAAAAAACTGTCTTAGTTTCCTTGGGTAAAAGCAACCATTTCTGACTTGCAGGTGATATATTAGTCCTGGGCAGGGCTCAACAAATCCCAGGCACCAGGTCACCATGGTGACCAGAAATTGTGTCCTTGTGCCTGGGCATTTGTCAGTCCATTCAATGTCTATCTGAATAATGTGCACACCTGAAACCCAGACACATTATTCAGACAGGGGCCTGGTAGGAGGGTGAGGGAGCCAGTCAAGGCAGAACGTGCAGGGGAC